AAACCCTAAACCCTAAACCCTAAACCCTAAACCCTAAACCCTAAACCCTGCCTGTTGTAGAAGCCTCCTAGCGGCTTGAGGGTTTAGAACTTGGGGGTTCAGGGTTTGAAGTCTAGGGCTTCAAGCTTTCCTCAGAGAATATTCCCGGATGTGATCGTCTAGAAGCTATGCCCTAAGTCCTGATGCCTGAACCCTAAAGCCTAAACCCTCAACCCGAAACCCTAAACCCAGAAGAGGCTAAACCCTGAACCCCGAACCCCGAACCCTAAACCCTAAACCCTAAAACCCTAGAACCCTAAAACCCTAAAACCCTAAAACCCTCAAACCCTCAAAAACCCTAAACCGGGATGCTCCCGAGGGGCTCCAGCCGTCCCAGCATCGAGTCGAGTTCACTTGCCCGGGGCCGTATGCTACCTATCGGGCTTGGGGCTTGCGGACTTCTCGCGTTTAGGACTTGTAGGGCTTAGGGTTTAGGGTTTTAGGGTTTTAGGGTGTTAGGGTCTTAGGGGAGTAGGGTCTTAGGGGAGTAGGTTTTAGGGTTTTAGGGTGTTAGGGTTTTAGGGTTTTAGGGTTTTAGGGCTTTAGGGTTTTAGGGTTTTAGGGTTTTAGGGTTTTAGGGTTTAGGGTTTTAGGGTTTTAGGGTTTTAGGGTGTGAGGGTTTTATAGGGTTTTGGGGTTTTATAGGGTTTTAGGGGTTTATAGGGTTTTATAAGGTTTGATATGTTTTTATAGGGTTTTATAGGGTTTTGGGGTTTTAGGGTTTTTAGGGTTTTAGGGTTTCAGGGTTTCTGGGTTTTAGGGTTTAGGGTTTTAGGTTTTAGGGTTTTAGGGTTTTAGGGTTTTAGGGTTTTAGGGTTTTAGGGTTTAGGGTTTAGGGTTTTAGGGTTTTAGGGTTTTAGGGTTTTAGGGTTTTAGGGTTTGAGGGTTTGAGGGTTTTAGGGTTTTAGGGTTTTAGGGTTTTAGGGTTTTAGGGTTTTAGGGTTTAGGGCGCTTGGGACTTATAGGGTTTTAAGAGCTGCCTACGGCTTGAAATGTACGGCTTAGGGAGGCTTGACAAGACAAAGTTCCGGTTCCGAACCCTAAACCCTAAACGAGGTTCTGAGCCAAGCTTTCGCCCTGAAGCCCCCGATGCAAAATCCCTAAACTCTAAACCCTCTAAACCCTAAAGCCCCCCAAACCCCCCTGAACCCCCAAGCCCTAAACCCTAAACCCCCATCCTAAACCCTGAACCCTAAATGAACCTTAAACCCAAGCTTACTTGGTCTTTGTTAACCAATTATGACTCTACCTATACCCATATTAGAGCTCCTAAGGGGCTGATAAGTGGGTCATTAGTACAGTTATAATTGGTCAATGAGTACCATGAACCTCCAAGTAGGTGTTAGGGACGCTAAACCCTAAACCCTAAACCCTAGACCCTAGACCCTAGACCCTAGACCCTAAACCCTAAACCCTAAACGAGCCTTAAACCCGGACGCCTTGGAGCCCCAACCCTTTTGGTATTCATCGCTTGGAGGGCTGACGACCCGGGTTCAGGGCTTTAGGGTTTGTTTAGGGTTTAGGGTTTAGGGTTTAGGGTTTAGGGTTTAGGGTTTAGGGTTTAGGGTTTAGGGGTTAGGGTTTAGGGTTTAGGGTTTAGGGGTTTAGGGTTTCGGGTTTCGGGCTTCGGGTTTCGGGTTTCGGGTTTCGGGTTTCGGGTTTCGGGTTTAGGGTTTAGGGTTTAGGGTTTAGGGTTTAGGGTTTAGGGTTTAGGGTTTAGGCCTAGGGTTTAGGGCTAAGGCTTAGGGCCTAGGGCTCAGGGTGGAAGGGACTCTAGCACTTACCAACCCGATTTGGCTTGAGGGCTTTGACCCTAAACCCTAAACCCTAAATCATGCGGTCCCAAAGGCAACAATGTGCAGCCTGAAACCCCAATTCGCGTCCCAAACCCTAAACCCTAAACCCTAAACCCCAAACCCCAAACCCTAAACCCAGCAAAGCAAAAGAAGGAACAACATTTTTTCCAGGAACCGCCTGGCCCTCTGCGCTTGGCGGCCTTCAGGGGGCATTTAAGGCTTTAGGGTTTAGGGCTTGTAGGGTTTAGAGTTTAGGGTTTAGGGTTGCGGGTTTCGGGTTTTGGGTTTGGGGTTTAGGGTTTAGGGTTTAGGGGGTTTAGCGGCTTCAAGGTTGAAGGCTTTCGGGCATTAACATTTCAGGGTTTAGGGGCTACTGCTTTGGGTTTCAGGTTTAGGTTATGCTGCCTTGGCATTTAGGGCAAAGGGTTCGGTGCCCTAAACCCGAAACCCTAAACCCTAAACCCTAATCCCCAAGCCCTAAACCCTAAACCCTGTGCAGGGCCTGAGGCATAGAAGCAGCAGGAGGAAGAAGGGCGCGGCAGCGCGAACTGAAGGTCCAGCCGCTGCGGACATGGAGATGCTCGGCATCTGCTACACTGCGCCTGACGCTCCCTAAAGTAGACAGAGGTTTGAGGGTTTTGGGCTTAGGGTTCGGGTTTAGGGTTTAGGGTTAGGGTGTAGGGTTGTTCAGGGGAAATTGCAAAGCTGGGCTTCAGGTGATCGTCTGCGGAAGTCTGCAATTGCATGACGCGCCGCACATGATTAAAGCTTCTGGCGATGCCCTAAACCCAAAACCCCGAACCCTTAACCCTAAACCCCAACCCCCCCCCCCCGAAAAACAGCCCGAGCAGTAAGCCCTCTGGATTTATAAACTGGATTCCCGACGGGCGCAACGCGCGCTTCCTTTGGAAGCGGCTGCGCTCTTGAGCCGGCTTTTTGGTCAGACGGCGTCCGATCCTAAGCCCTAATTTGGGGTGTAGGGTGTAGGGTTTAGGGTGTAGGGTTTAGGGTTTAGGGCTTAGGGTTTAGGGTTTAGGGTTTAGGGTTTAGGGTTTATGGTTTAGGGTTTAGGGTTTAGGGCAGACCCTAGTTTGGTGGTTTCCGAAGGTAGGGGTACCTTGTTGGGGTCCTTTTTCTAAGGGAATCCTACTATGTGGGGTCCATTTTTGGGGGCCCCCAATTTTCGCAAACCCCCATTTGGGGTGGAGGGTGTAGGCTTTGGGGTTTTGGGTTTAAGGTGTGGCTTGAAAGGGTTTAGGGCTTAGGGCAAACCCTAAACCCTACACCCTAAAACCCTAAAACCCTAAAACCCTAAAACCCTAAAACCCTAAAATCCTAAAATCCCCTAAAACCCTAAATCCCTAAAACCCCTAAAGCCCTAAAACCCTAAAGCCCTAAAACCCTAAACCCTAAAACCCTAAAACCCTAAACCCTAAAACCCTAAAACCCTAAAATCCTAAAATCCCCTAAAACCCGAAAACCCTAAAACCCTAAAACCCTAAAATCCCCTAAAACCCTAAACCCTAAACCCTAAACCCTAAAATACCCTAAAATCCCCTAAAATCCCCTAAAACCCTAAACCGTAAACCCTAAACCCTAAACAGCTCAGGGTCAGGTCTCAGCTGGAAGCTGTCTGGAGATCGCCCGACAAGTGGACTCTTGTTGGGGCGGGGTTCCTTCTGAAAAGGCACCAAAGAGTTTTTAGGGTTTAGGGTTTAGGGTTTAGGGTTTAGGGTTTAGGGTTAGGGTTTAGGGTTTAGGGTTTAGGGTTTAGGGTTTAGGGTTTAGGGTTTAGGGTTCGGAATATAGGGAACGATGCTCAAAAACCCTACGTACATTAGCGAGTCGCACCAGGGAAAGCCCCACCGAACGCGTCAATGCCCATCTGCATATGACAAAAAAAAGACCTAATGAAACCCAAACCCTAAACCCTAAACCCTGATTAAACCACAAACTACTTAGGGACTGAAACTCTCTGCCGTCAACTCTCAACCCTAAACCCTACACTCTGAATCCTGAACCCGAAACTTAAAGCTCGAACACATGCACAAACGCACAAACGCACAAACGCACAAACGCACAAATGCACAAACGAACACACACACACACACACACAAACACACAAACACACCCCTGCCCATGCCCTCGCCCACACACCCACACACCCACACACCCACACACCCACACCCACAGACCCACACCCACACACCCACACCCACACACCCACACACCCCGCATCCCCACCCCCACACCCCCCCCACCCACGCACGCACACAAACAAAAAACTAAACATGAATGCAGACATGCAGAAATTTAATTAAAACAAGAGAAAAAAAGTACATGAGCACTCGCCCTCGCAGCTCTCTTTTCCAAGGCCTTGCTACCGCAGTAAGAGTCTAGAGTTGCAGCCGGCAAAAGGAGGTCCACCGTAAAGGGCTCAGCACTCACGCCCACTGGCGCGGCCGAGTCTGTCAAAGGTGGTTCCAGCAAAAGCACGGCTCTTCCACCACCACGGGAGGGCGGGTGGGAACCAAAAAGCTAAGAGAGGCTGAGGCTTTGTGCACATGAAAGAGACATGAGCACTCGCCCTCGCAGCTCTCTTTTCCAAGGCCTTGCTACCGCAGTAAGAGTCTAGAGTTGCAGCCGGCAAAAGGAGGTCCACCGTAAAGGGCTCAGCACTCACGCCCACTGGCGCGGCCGAGTCTGTCAAAGGTGGTTCCAGCAAAAGCACGGCTCTTCCAAAACTGACGGCAGCCACAGCGAACGAAGCCGGGCGCTGGTGCTGCACCTGCTATCGCTTAGCCCAGGAAGTTGCATCGGTGTCAAGTCAAGCTGGGGGGCTTTGAAGTTGCGCCAAGAAAATCGCAGCGGCGGACTCAACGCTGCGACGAGCCGAAGCCGGTAAACTTGGCAAGACATTCAACGCAGCCACCTCTTGGAGATAGCTAGCCAGCGTGTCCTGGTGTCTAAGTCTCATAGCCCATAATAAGTCTGCGATCGGTGCGCGGAGGTGATATTGAAAAACGGCTCCCCCGCCTCGCAGGCCCCCCGGCGTTAGCTTCAACGTCGCAGGTATGCCCAGTGCAGCCAAAAGTGCGTCCCACCGTCGCCTGTAAGCGGAAGCACTCCAGGGGAAGAGAGGTTCTTCCGGACCCCAGTCTCGCATCACAACCTCCAGGAACTTGACGAACGGGGCCTCCCTGCAAACGAAATGTTGAACACGCCCGGCTCCGCGCCGCGCCCCGCGGTCTTGGGAGCCTCTACTCGCACGAAGCAAGCACCTAAGTCAGCCTCCAGTACGTCGCTCGGAAGGAGAACAGATCGTCGTAGGGCTCGGAGCGGCTCTCCGATCCTTGCTACACCAAAGAAGGACAAGCCAGTCACGATGGTGAACCGGACCCATCCCCAAGCGAGCGCGAGGCTCAACATAGCCTTCAGCACCTTGACAGGCGTTGGCACCCTGTGAACTGTAGGTTGTAAGGCCTCCCAGCGTGTCAACAGATCCCAGCACATGGGCATGTACGGCCTCACTGCGAACCTGTTCTTCTGGAAGTAAGCGCAGAGGTGCCTCCACTTGTAGATCGGCTCGCCTTCCCGGTATAGGTGATGACCATATTCGCGGAGGACGGCGCAAAACACCATGGCACAGGAGTCTAAGCTGCGGAGAGCCCCAGCGCTGAAATTAGCCTTAAGCCAGCCCTGAAATCCCTGAAGAAGCCTGTCTTGCAGCCCTCTAGTGCGTTCAGTCACAAGCAGGACTTGGTCAAGGTTTTGGGCCCGTTGGAAAGGACCTGGCTTCGTAGCCTCCCCCACTCGCACAAGGCCTCCGAGGCAGAACGAAGCGGCATCAATCCGCCTGCGTTGGCGACAAGGCTTAGTTGCCTCGACCAAGGCGGCTGCAAGCAGGTGGTTAACAGGCCGAGGGTAAGGCCCTGCAACTTTAGTCCAAGATCTGCCAGAATGTTTGCAGTACCCTCTGAGAGTAGGGTGCTTGGCACAGCACTCGCATCGCACTCGTTGACCTGCTAGCGCTGTGCTGGTAAACACCCGAGTGCGTTTCCTCCAAGCGCAGCCAAAGCGGCAGCAATCGTAGGTGAAGAAACTTCCACAAGACGGCTCACTGGCTAAGATGGCTTGCCACTCTCGTTGCTGCCACAAGAAAGAGGAGCAAGGATTTTCGATCCAGAACGGGACGCCAACATTGACAGCGGCCTCGACTACTCGCGCCGCGAAGCGAGAGTGCTCGTTCCCAACTCGAACCTTCTCCTGCATCGCCCCCCTGCAGTCAGGCACTCCCTGAGGGAACTCTTTCGAACGCACAGGTGGATGCACAGCTCGGCTCATGCTAGTGCAGTCGGGCCCACCCCCGACTCCGAGGAAGGCCCCGCACGAGATGAGATGCAACAGAGCCACCTGCACAGCAGGCGCTCGCAGATCCTCTGAGGCGTCTCGGCAGACCTCAAACGTCAACACCCAGGTCGAGGTTTGTTTGGCAATGGCTCGAGCGACCCCGTAGCTTCCGCAAAACAGGTCAAGGTATCCAGGTCCGGAGCAACCCCTCGGTTTGTCACAAACTGACGCGGCTTGAAAGACCCCAGCAGGTCGATGGCTTTGCGAGTAAGGCTGGCACGGCCTTCACAGCGTGACTTGGCACAGGCCCTTTGCACAAGCCCGGGAATTAGAGGTTGGTCCGGTGGCTCTGGGGTCTTAGAGGCTCTAACTCCGGGACTGCGGGTAGGGCCAGCTGAGGTCGGAAGGCCCTCGAACAGACGGCCAGCAGCTGCGTAGCCGTTCCTTGCAGTGCAGGGACCAGGGATGGGGCCTAAACCACAACACCCCGAACTAGGGTTAGGGACCTCAACCAGAGCTACAGAATTCAAGGTCAGGGACTAAACCGAAAGAACCGAAACTAGGGTCAAGGGGGCTGGTGTTGCGCTGATCGACCGGTGTGTCGGGATTGGTCGCCACTGCTCCTCTCACATCTTGGGCTTTCGGGCTCGGGACTAAACCGAAAGAACCTGAACTAGGGGCGACGTGGCGATCTACAGAAGGCCCGGCAGTGGTACCGGAACAGGGCCTCATCATGTTAGGGTCTAGGGTGCCTCGGCCTAAACCACAACAACCGAAACTAACCGGGGGCGGGTGAGTTGCGGTCTGACAACCACGCCCTGCCCTGTCTTCGAGGCGGCGGCGGGCTTCCCACTCAAGCGAAGCATCGGTAGCATAAAGAACCTCAGCGCGCCGGGCCCTCATGTTGGTAGAGGCGGCGGCAACGAGTATGGCGCTAGCCCAAAGCTCGTCCCTGAGCCGGTCGCTGAGTTTGAACACTTGATGCCTTGGCAGGGCCCGACCTTCAGTGTAAACAAGCTCGAGGCATGAGAGGAGCCTTCTGCGGAAAGAGAGCAGGCTAACGAGGCTCCCTGCAGCTATCTCGAGGAGCGCCCGTGTGGCAACTCCCAGTTTGGCTATGTCACACACGTAAGCAATGACAGGCAATGCTCGGGCAGGGTTAGCCCTGATGTCACCGCTCAGGCCATCAACAGTAGCGCCCCAAAAACTGGCTTTGGTCTGCTTCTCAAAGGCCTTGTCAGGGCTCCTGGCAAGGCCGGCTCGGCCGTACTGACCCCGCATTGCTGCCAGAAGTCCAGCTGAGCGTCTCCCTTGCTCACCCTGCGGAGCGTCACGCTTTGCTTTTTCGAGCACTACGAAATCGTCGATGCAGATGCCTGCCATAAGGGAAGCCCGGCTGGGCCTACTGTCCAGGGTCAGCAGTTCAGCAAGACTGACCTCCCCGGTCTGCAACAGCATGGCGACATGGCTGGTCTGGCCATAGCTCACAGCATTGAGGTCGCCCATGGCAAGCGTTTTAAGGGCAGCATAGTATCGAGAGTGGCCTTTCTCGGCAGCTTCGAAGCAGGAGAAGAGTCGAGCCTCGCTGGCCGGCAGGGATCCCGACAGCACATTCCTCTGAGCCCTCTGATCGCTCACAGCGAAATAGTAGTAGTAATCCTTCAAATCCTCTCCCCCCATTATTAAGACTTCGTCAGGGCGAAGGCTGAGGGTCAGCAAACTGCTGAAGTTGGCCAGAGTGCGGAGCCAACGGCCGGTGGCTGATTCGCGCATATTCTGACACCGAGCATCTAGTATCATTCTATCTTTGCTTTGATTTTTGATGATGGCGAAAAGCCCGTTGGTGAAGCGGCTGTCGAAAGCCGAGGCCGGGTAAAAGGCCAGACGGTCACTGGAGTCGAGCATACGCAGCACGGCCAGCTTCTCCGAACGAGAAGCTTTGAACTGAGGCCTGCGCAGGGGACCTTGCACCTGTCCTGGAGGCTTCATCCAGTCTGCAGGCCTTTCGTAGTGCGCTCGGCTCTCCCAATCTAGGAAGGGCCTGGGGTCAAACGTGGGCCGGCCGGTCATCTCTCCAGGTTCTTTGCGCACACTGGGTTGCCACTGGAAGTGAATATGGCTTCTTCAAACTCCGCAGAGGGGTCTTCAAGCAGAAAAGCGGCGCTCCCCACCTTGGCTGCAGGGGTTGCGCCAGGCAACACGGCTTCTTCGCCGGAGCAGCGCGTCCATTCAGGCATGTGGGGGCCATAGCTTCTGACTGCGACCCCTAAACTTTGCCCAATGGCCTTAAGCCTCTCCAATTCTGCTTCGACGCTCTCGACTTTGGCCGCAGCACGGCCCATCTCGGCAGGTCCTACTTCAGGATGCAGGACAAGTACTCGCACTTTGGTTTCCAGGCGGCGGACAATGCCCCTCTGCTCTCCAGTCAAGGGTTGGCCCAGCGCGAGGTGCGGCGGGCAGGTGGCAGGCTGTCCTAGACTAAACCAACTAAGAACAGCTACAACCAAATACAGCTCGACAAGTCGCACGGCGGCGACGGGAGAGGGATCCTCGATGATGTCTGCTGGCGACCTCGGGATAGGGAAGCGGCATTGGGAAACCAAGTGCGGAAGGAGCAGGGAATTCCTGCTTGCGCGGTCTGCACGCAAGGCCTTGGAAAAAAGAAGCAAAAGGTGTGGAAGAAGAAAGAATCCACCTCGGCAGAGCGTTCCACAGGGCTGCTGGCTGTACGGGATTCGCAGCAGCCCCGGGCACGCGAGGCAAGTCTTGAGCGGGATTCAGCTCGGGACGCTCCACGTCCATGCGAGCAGTTCATGCTTCGGCTTTCGGGCTGGCTCTGGGCTTGCCCTTGGGCTTTCCTTTTCGACGCCCCTTGCCCTCGTCTGTTACCTCTGCGGTTTTCTCGGGCGCAGTCGTCGTTTCCTGGCGCAGGAGGCCTGACGGCTGAGGAAACGCTCTCTGGTTTCCCAGTCGCTTCCGGCGCTCGACGAAGTCGTCCACTTCCTTCACTTAATGCACCAGCAGTTCCATCATTCGGCCGTCGTAGAGGCGAGAGAAGGGCTGTTCCGAACCGCTGGGAAGTTGGCGATTCACAAAGCTGTGCTGTGGAGCCGGCTCTTCCAGGAGCATGGGTTCTGCTAAAACCCATGAGCCTCGGTCCAAGGAGACCTGCTCCGTGGCCGCTAGACCAACCAGAGCTCTGGCAAGCCCCTCGTCGTATCTCTGAGCTTTGAGGGCATCTGCTATGCCACTGAGGATCCGTACCTGACTGTGCTGGGGTACGCCTGGATTCGGGCTCGGGATTCCACCCAGCCGCGAGCAGAGATGGGCACCACTGAAGACCCGGCTTCGGCCATGCGCCGGAGGATGCCATCCGCCAGCTCCTTGGGTCGGTCCCGGAGGGATTGCTTGAGCACTCGCAGAGCTGCCGCGTTGCGTCGGCCGCCAGTTGCAGCCACAGAGCCAGACTCGGCGGAGCCAGACGCTGGCTCGTCCAGCAAAGCTTCCAGAGTTTCCGGCTTTCGCTTCGACGCCGTCAGGCTTTCGGCAATCGCTGTCAACTTGTGTGTGGCAAAGGCCACTTGGTCTGCAGGCTCCGGAGCGACGGGCACTTCGACGTCCACCTCTGCCTCGTCGCCTGACTCGTCCAGCGGGCCAGCCCTCATGACTCGAGGCTTGGCCGGCTTGGCGCCCTCGCTCAGGCGGCCCTTGTTGAGTGACGTCAGTCTCGCCATCTCGACCAGGTGGGCCTCTGGCACCCCGGCCATGCGAGCGCTTTGGACAACGGCAGGGTCCAGAACTGACAAAAGGTCGGT